AGAAGGCGTGGGGCGGGCTGTCCGGCCCGCAGGGCGGTCAAGGTGGGAACGGAACAGCCCCAGGGGACCCCTTGAGGCGGCGAGGGCGCTAGGCTAGAGGGTAGGAGAGCGCGGGAAAGCGCCCCAGACGCCACTCGCGGCGGACTGTGGCTGGTTCCCAGGGGCTCCGAGCCGGGTGCGCGGGCGTGGGGCCTCCGGGTGGGGGCGCGCCCTTAATAGGCGCCGCTGCGGGGACTGGAGTCGGCATGAGAAGCCGGAGTCCCCAGCATTGGGGGTGGGTGAGGGTCGCTTATTTTCCCGGGGCGGTGACGGGTACTGGGCGCCGCGAGGCCCCAACCCCGCTAGAGCCGCCCTTGGAGCCCGCCCGTGGCCGGCTTGGGGGGCTTCGGCTCAAGCGCTTCCTCCCCGTCGCTAGCCCGCGGCGCCATGGCTCACGTCGGCTCCCGCAAGCGCTCGAGGAGTCGCAGCCGGTCCCGGGGACGGGGGTCGGAAAAGAGAAAAAAGAAGAGCAGGAAGGACGCCTCCGCATCCCAAGGTCGCAAGGCCAGCACGGCCCTCGGGGCGGAGGGTGAGGACCACAGGCATCGGGGAGAGGAGGCACAGCCACTTCCCGGGGAAGTCGGGGCGAGCAGCGGTCGGGGACGCTCAGTCATGCCTCTGTGCATCTGGGCCTGAGATGCGAGGGCCAGGCGCCACGGGAGCCGGGAAGGGGCTCCCCCGGGAAGCTCCATCTCTGTTCTGGAAAGCCCCGCAGGAGGCGCTCACCCTGTAGATGGTCTGTGCCTGCCCCAGGCCAGAGTAGGGGACGAAGGTTTACCTCTTCCCCTCCTGGCCTTCTAGCCTCACCTTCTCCCTGCATCACAGAGAGAAGCAAGCACAAGGCCCGGAGGAGACCACGATCCAGCTCCTCCTCCTCCTCTTCCAGTTCTAGCTCCTCTTCTTCCTCCTCGTCCTCCTCCTCTTCCTCCAGTGATGGCCGGAAGAAGCGGGGGAAGTACAAGGACAAGAAGAGGAGGAAGAAGAAGAAGAAGAAGAAGCTGAAGAAGAAGGGCAAGGAGAAGGTGGAAGCACAGCAAGTGGAGGCTCTGCCGGGCCCCTCGCTGGACCAGTGGCACCGATCAGCTGGGGAGGATGAGGATGGCCCAGGTACTGTGCTGCCCAGCACCTGAGAGGGAGAAGGTCCCTTCACAAGGCCTGGCCACCACCTCCATCTTCCCTTCCAGTCCTGACGGATGAGCAGAAGTCCCGAATCCAGGCCATGAAGCCCATGACCAAGGAGGAGTGGGATGCCCGGCAGAGCATAATCCGCAAGGTGGTGGACCCGGAGACGGGGCGCACCAGGTGGGGAGCCCTCGGCCTGACTTACACCGCGGGGTCTGGGAGTGTTGGCTGAAGATGTGAGGAGCCGGGCCGGGTGGGGGTGCTGCTGCCTGAAAAAGGCCAGATGTGGGCAAAAAACCATCACTGCGAGTAAGCAGTTGTAGGGGCTGGAAGGGCCTGGAGGAGGCTTTTCAAAGGGCTGTTGTTGGCAGGGCTGAGGCTGGCAAGGTGGAGCCCAGCTCGGCTGCCTTTATCAGGGAGAGTGGGTGAGGGCCCAGAGTCTGCCCACTCAAGGCTGCGGGGCGGGAGCCTGGGACCCCTCTGCCGGCTGCTTCTGGTTCTGCTCCTTTGGCATTAGGGGAGCTGCCTATTCCTTGCTGAATGGAGACCCTCCCACCCCCAGGCTAATTAAGGGAGATGGTGAGGTCCTAGAGGAAATCGTAACCAAAGAACGACACAGAGAGATCAACAAGGTGGGTGTGGCCCCTCTGCCTGCCATCCACCCCCAGCTCTGTTTGTGATATCCCCCTCCTCCTGTGTGCTTTCTTCCCCAGCAAGCCACCCGCGGGGACGGCCTGGCCTTCCAGATGCGAGCTGGGTTGCTTCCCTGAGGGCCCCGGCTGGCCAAGGCCTGTGGACGGTGCTGG